CTATTTTAAAAAAGAACTAAAAATTAGGCAAGAAAAGTGGTGCTTAGGGAACCAATTCAACCACTTTTTAAAAATGGCTTTCTACTTCTCCTTAAGTCCGTTTTCATATCTGCCTATGAACTTACAGTATTTTGGAAGGGCATGGAAAAGAACTGAAATGATAGGAACATAAGAAATTAGACATCTAGATTTGCCTAACCTTGAAAGAAAGGACTCGGTGTTATTAGTCAAAAACAGCCTGTTTTTGATGATACCATTAAAATTGGTATTTTTATTCTTTAGTTTTGATTGAATTTCAGCTAAAAGAACTTTCCACAAAACAATTATCCGGACCCCTGGTTAACTGAACACTATTCAAAATCTTCAAAGTTTATTTCTAAGATTAGAGATGTGTCTATATGCTTTTTGTCTGATTATCTGCCTTCATTAGCTTCTCAATCAATACATTAAACCAAAAAAATCCATTGCTGTCGAGTGGATTCTGACTCATAGCGACTCTATAGGACAGAGTAGAACTGCCCCATAAGGTTTCCAAGGAGCAGCTGGTGGATTCAAACTGCCAACTTTTTGGTTAGCATCCGAGCTCTTAACCACTGTGCCACCAGGACTCCAAAAAGCACCCAACAGCACCTATAAATCTTTATCCTCTTGATTCCTTTACACCAGAATGTTTCCTAATAATTTTTCCCCTCATGCCCTTGACCAATTTTCATCTTTATAATTCTTGGACGTTTTCATGAAAAGCTCTTTAAAATGCATAATTCACCTTTACCAAATTTTACTTACTGCTCTGTAATTCCATCTCTATGCTGTACAAGAGAAAAAATGCAAACAGAAAAGTGCATCTTCAAGACAAACTCAGATACCCAAGATAAATATTTCATCAAACAAAACCAAAAAATGATTACAAATCAAACCACTGTGGCCATTACAAAAATGTATCAGTCATGTTGCTGACCTAACCTTTAAGTTGAGAAGTCACTGACAACAAACTAAGTTCTTTTTATCTGTCACCACTTTAAGATTAATGATTTTTTTCAACATGACTATTTCATTTGGGGACAGCAGAATGGAGAAGCAGTGGTAATTTTAGTTCATATACTGTCAAGATAAATGATAGTATGATAGGTGTAAATTTAAAGCTGGATTCCAGATTTTTGACTTACCTGCTGGAAGTTCCAAGCATGTTTTTTTTTTTTAAACCCCCATTTTTCGGTAGAAGTAAATCATATGTTCCAAAGTAGTTAGTCATTTTCTATTACTGCTTAACACCGATTATGTATTAATGTTTAGTTAACCAATTTAGATATTTTGGAAAGGAAGTTAGATTAGAAGAGATTCAACATCCTGAAAAGATTTGGGGGCAATGGTACAAAAATTAAAAAAAATTGGAGGATATGTTTCAATTCTCACTGGAGACAGCTATTTGTACATGCTTGAATAAGGGCCTTTATTTGTTTGTTTTGGCTGTTAAGGGCAATATTAAATGTTACAATGCACATATTACATATATTCAAATAATATTATATACTTATTTTATTATAAATATTGTTTTAATGCTGATCACTAGTTACTTTTCTGACTTAGTACTGTTGGGTATTAATTCAGCAAGTAATGTGAAGACCCAGAAAGAGTTCACTATGCTTCTTTTTAAAAAAAGGTATACACACACACACACACACACACACACACACTAACTATACATATAATATTTTCATATAATCTTCAATAGATTATAAGCTAGAAAAGATAACATTCTTTAAAAAAATCAATTACTTGTATCTGGTACTAAGGGTTGTATTCCAAGTTTGTTTTTTTTAAAACATAGTGTAAGTGTATTTATAACCAAAACTATATATCTACACATTAAAAAAAAAAAAAAAAAAAACCTATAGTAATTAATTCAAATACACAAAATATTAGAAACTTCTTTTAACACAAAGTATCCCCAAACAGCAGGGTTCTTCTGTGATAAAAAGTTAATTATTTGTCTTTATGTTGAGTAAATTTAACAAGTCTGTTTTTCAAACAATTTAATATAATGTTTTTTTTTTGCTCCAACAATTACCATATAATCATGTCTCAGGAAAAACTGATGTGTATGAGTCCTTAGTGCTTGGTGCTTTCATAAACCGGGTAGCAGGAATTAAATATATTTTGGATATTCTGTAAGATCAGTATTTCCTGTAAGAGTGTAAACTTTTTAAACATCAAACGATCAATTGGTGTTATAAATATCTCTTACAAGTTCTTTTGTTTTCTCTGAGTTAGAATTTGCAGTACCTTGAAAGATGTATGCTTGGAACCAAATAAAACCACACCAATCTTTTCTAATTAATTTATAGTCTAATAATCTGTAATTCTATATGGGCAAATAACCACCATAGTTTATCTTCCCACCACAATTCACTTTAACCTACAAGGTGATTTTTAGATAACATAATTTGATTTACAAGGAACAGTTAGCTATTCCATGTCTCCAGTTTTGACATCACCAGGCACAGCCTAATTCCAATAATACCATCACTGACCTTTCTAACTCAATCCACATTTGTTATAAAAACAATTATCATTCCCAGTTCCATGTCAGCAGGAGGTGCGACTGGCGTGGAAGCTACGTGATTAATGCCTGAGGGAAAGAGTGCCTCATGTCACTCAAAGATGACCCCTTTTTAATGATTACGAAGCAACAGTGACAGGTTCTCATCAAGTTCATCGCTTAACTGGAAAGTTGTGCAAAAGGATTGCACATTCCACCAATAATTTTTCATGTTAAGGTATTCATTTAATTTAACTTTCCATAGTAGTATAAACAAAGATGGCAAGCATTTTTGGGGAATTTATATAAACTACTTTAGAGTTAATGCATTTGTTTGCTTAGGAGTAGGTACCAGCAGTTCACTAAGACTGCAAAAGCACACCTCACATTCTACGCATTATAAACTGCTGAAATAATGCTGATCAAAGGATTAAAGTATCAGACTCTTGAATAGTCACATCATTTAAAAACTAAAACAGAATACCAATTATTATTGCAAAATTTAGAAACACACAGAATTAAATTAATTTTTTAAACAGCCTACGTAGAAGACAATAAAATACTGAAGCCTGGTGTACCTTTCCAGACTGTAAGCCTTTCTTCTTTTGTATATGGTCAGCCCATCAAGCACACTGCCTGACACACTGATGTTCAAGAAATGTCAAATTCAAAACACTAATTTCACATTTGACATATACAAAGATAAATGTTTTTCTGGTCATCTTAGAGTTAAAGCAGCTATGGAAAATGTGTATCTACTTGGATCACTTTATTTTGCAGAGTGAAATAAATAACAAGCTAGAAAACTCTTAACTTCCTAGAGAGAGACCCTTTCTACTTTTACTACCAGTAAAATTTCTAAAATCTTTCTACATTCTAAATATTTGTAGGGATTGGGCATGGGGGAAAGCTGAATCTTAACAGCTCAGAAACCTTCCAGACTTTATTTACATTGTAATAAGGGCTCCTATATACATTTTTTACAATTCAATGGAATTATGATATCAAATCTGGCAGGGTACACTATAAAGCTTACTCCACCTTGTCTTCAGGTACAACCTTTAGAAATCTACAACTAAAAAGCAAGGACTCAGAAAGACTGAATTTTTTTTTTTTAATTTAGAGTTTCTACATTCCTACTTCTAAGATAGATTTGAGGTATTTTTATATTTTCTAAAATAAGCATAAGAAATAATATTGGAAATGAAGTTTCTTGTTGCAGGTTTAAACTAATAAACATTCATGGGAATTAACTAGGCCACAGAACATAGTAGCCTATGTTTGCCAAACTGGACTTTTGAAGAAGTACAAAATTGTGCCATGATAACTTCTTAAAGGCAGATATTTCAATGGCATTTGAGTGTTTCATACTTTGTCATCATGGCTTATAGGAGTGGGCAGTCAGTTATAAAATATTAATACTAGTTGCAACTACAAAGCAATATTTCTTATGAACATCTAATTTAGAAAAGTAATTTTTCTTAATAGTGCAAAACCCTAACTCATGATGTTGATTACTTCATTAAGCTGAAATTACTACTAACTTGGAAGAAAGATGTGGCAGCCTACTTCTGTAAAGATTACAGCTTGGAAACTATGGGGCAGTTCTACTCTGTCCTGTAGGCTTGCTAGGATTCGGAATAACTCAAGGACAACGGGTTAAACAGTTATTATCTATTTAATAGAAAGGTAAGATTTATGTATAATACATAATCTTTTTTTTATTGTGCTTTAGATGAAGGTTTACAGAGCAAATTAGTTTCTCATTAAACAATTAATACACATACTGTTTTATGACAATGGCTGTCAACCCCATGATGTGTCAACACTCTCCCCTTCTCAACCTTGGGTTCCCCATTACCAGCTTTCCTGCCCCCTCCTGCCCTCTTGTCCTTGCCCCTGGGCTGGTATGCCCATTTAGTCTCGTTTTGTTTTATGGGTCTGTCTAATCTCTGGCTGAAGGGTGAACCTCAGGAGTGACTTGAATACTGGGTCAAAAGTGTGTCCAGGGGCCATACTCTTGGGGTTATGTATAATACATAATATATCTTGCCTTTTGCTCAAATGATTCATTATAACCAAACAGAAGAAAGAAGTGGAAAGGAAGCAACATTTATTAAATGCCATATAATGTGATGTTGTTAGTTGCCTTCAAGTTGATTCCAATTCATGGTGACCCCATGTGTGCAGATTAGAACTGCTCCATAGGATTTTCAGTGACTGTGACCTTTAGAAGCAGATTGCCAGGCCTGTCTTCTGAGGCACCTCTGGGTGAGTTCGAACAGCCAACCTTTCAGCTAGTAGTCAAGCACTTAACTGTTTGTGCCACCTTACCTATAATGTGATAGGCTAACTTAATTGTATCACGACACAAACTTGTTGTTTTCCATTGACTCGATTCTGACTCATAGCAACCCTACAGGACAGAGTAGAACTGCTCCATAGGGTTTCCTGGGCGGTAATCTTTATGGGAGCAGATTGCCAGGTCTTTTCTCCCACAGAATGGCTGGTGGGTTCGAACCCTGAACCTTTCAGTTAGCAGCTGAGTGCTTAACCACTGAACCATGAGGGCTTCTCCATGGCACAGATACCTGGTGTTATTTCCATTTGACAGGTAAGAAAACCAAAGAAAAACTCATTTCCTTGTAGTTCAGCTAATAAGAAACTAAACAAGGATTTGAAACTGTCTGTCTGAAGTCAAAGTCGATGTTTTTAAGTTTGTATTAGCTTACCAAACAAACATATCCCAAATGCTTTTACAAGTCAAGTAAAGTGGCTACTCCTAAGAATGAAAATTTCTTATATTCATCAACTGGGGAAGCACTTACTCCCTTCATTGTGTTTTCTCTGATACTTTGGGGGACCTAATAAATATTAAAAGGAATTTGTATAATGTCAAATTTGAAGGCCAACTAGCAACAACTAATAATTCTTACAGTATGTGTGAAAAAATTACTGACTTAAAATATAGAAAACAGCTGTGATTTTTATCCAGAGCTGATATGCTAATGTAATAGTTTTCAATTTAGATTATAAACCCAGTAATAAAACACTGAGCATTTGTATTTTGTTAAAAGATCTATTTCCAAGATAAAACTAAAGTGTGCTTCTTTAGCAGATTAATTGCTGTGAGATCATCACTTTAGTTACATAAAATCTAAATGGAAGCTTTAATGTTTCTTTTCTAGCTGTATCACAATGTAACTTATTCCCACTAGTAAAGCAACTCCAATTTCAAAAGTGGTTATTATCCACACCGTTTCTTTTAGTTTTACTATAAACTGCTATTAGGAAAAAACTGCAAATTGAAATGTTACTAGTCTATAAATCCATACTGCACATTAAAATTTTAGATAATCTCAAATCTATTACTCAGTTGCCACTTATAATCTTAATATTTAATAAAACTTATTAAGCAGTAGAATGTTTTCACTTACAGAATCCTGGTTACCTGGAGTAGTAATACACTTAGCACACAAACTGCTAAAATAAAATACATCAAGAGATTATATTGTCAGACTTTTGCATATGCACTGCATTTAAAAACCAGAAGACATGACTTATTGTAAATTTTAGAAACATTTATTTTAGAAATACACCAAACTAAAATGAGTATTTAGTCCAACAGCTTACAGACAAGAGAAATAGGAATTACGGGTTTATCGGCGCACATTTACATGAATATCCTTGCCATGATTCTAAAACCAAGAACACTTAGAACAGAGGACATTCTGACTTGAAAAAAAAATTAAATTAAAAAATGTTACATGTACAATATAAATAATATCACTTTCAGAATGGAGAAAATTAAAGATTAATGAAAGCAGTGCATACCACCAAACAAAACCATTTTTTACCTTGAATCAAGTTTTACACACTGGAGAAAGTCAGACGCCCCATGCTATAGTTTTGCAGAAGTTCTTTAAGTGCTTTTAGAATTTAGCAAGGCTTCCAAAACTGTCTATAATTTAAAAAAAAAAAAAAGTTAATGTTTGTTAATAAGCTATGAATTCCACAATAAATGACACATCAAGTCGGACAGGTTTAGGAAGCCAACTCATTTTCGGGCTTCCTCATGAAAACTCTATGACTGACCGGCATAACATTTCCAGTGTCACCAATAAGGCCTCAGTGTGCACTCCAGGACATACTTTCACATTCTCAGGCAGTTCCTTAAGAATATTTGGGAGCTTCTGTAATGTTTTTATATTTCTAGCATAAAGATCCAATAACCAGTCAGTATGAGCACTCGTGGTTTCCTTATAACTCTTACAAGCCATAAGCAGTTCACTTAGATGAGTTAACCCTTTGAAAGCTAAGAGGAACTCTGAAGATAAATCAAAAATAGAACAAAAATTTAGCAGCATCCTACTAAGTAAAAATGAGCCAAATTCAAGTTGCTGGTGGTGAAAATGTTTTTCTACTTGTGCATGGAAGTTTTCCACTGTATCTTCTATTTTTGTAATAGCAAATAGTTCTTCCTTGATTTGAGGTGACACCACATAATCCAAAGGCAATTCCCCCATAGAGTTTCTCTGCTGTAAAAGCACTGGGCCTGTGAAAAAGAAAATGCAAAATGTTAAGTGCAAAACATTTTTATTTTGGCAGTTTAACAGCTGTTTCTCTTTTTTCCCTAAGCATCCAGGGCTCTGTTTACAATCCTATTTTGTAATAATTCATGTTGACGCAATTAACTGGCCTATACATATTGACTATCTAATAAAGGTGCATTAAAACAAAACAACATTCTAGTTAATTGCCTAATGAGGTTTACCTAAAAGTACGTGCTTTAGTTCAACAAATAATACGTGGGTATAAATGGAAGAAAAAAAAAATTTATAAACTGTCAAGAGTTTCAGTGTTGTCAGGAGAAATTAATAAAATATATTCATTTTAAATTCTGTACAAGAGTCTTAAGGATATCTTAGGATATCACCAAGAAGAAAATATAGTGTCCCCTTCCATTGCCAGTATGTGATTCTGGCAATGCAAAGACTACAAAACCTTGCAGAGATCAGAATACGTTTTTCATTTATCCCTGCTTATGGCCCTGGTGGTGCAGTGCTTAAGAGCTCAGGCTGCTAACCAAAAGGTTGGCAGTTCAAATCCACCAGCTGCTCCTTGGAAACCCTATGGGGCAGTTCTACTCTGTCCTACAGGGTCGCTATGAGTTGGAATTGACTCAATGGCAATGGGTTTGGTTTTTTGATTTTGGTTATGTTCAACTTTTAGTACAGGTAACCGATTCACAAAAAATTAAATGTTAATTGTTCTGGATCACATCTATCTATCTAAACACATTTAACCACCTACTTAGAAGGTACTGAAGAGAGTTTATCCCCTAGATAGTAAAGGATGATTGGGAGGAGCTAAACAACAATGACTCAGTATTTGGTCACACAGCAAACTACAGAAGTACTTTGTACCTTTGTCAGCCAAAACTTATAATTATTTATTCACATTGCCATAAAAAGCTATAAGGGATATAAAGGTTTCAGAACTAGCAGACATAATCAAAGGGTCCTATCATATAACATAGATCATATTATTAGAGAGAGAATAGATTACAGCTGATAAAATGCTTACTGATGAATCTAATCAGGCATATTTAGTGGCCTGGTTAAAACATATATTATAAAAGATCAACCACTGATGATATATGACTAATTCATAATTTATGGAAAAAAGAGAATTCTAGATCAAAATTAGGTTCTTTTGTATTGTGTTAGCATCTTAAAAAAAAAAAAAAAGCTCCAGTTACTCCTTAAAAAACAAAACAAAATTATGGACACAGATTTTAGAGGCATAAATAAATTCTTAAAATTATTCTTCTCAAGACTCAGTGACTCGCAACGCATAAATAATGCAGTTATTACAACGATGGTATCAAACCACTTGGCAGGTCCCAAAATATGACTAAGGGAAAGTTAAGTCTGTACAATTGCCAAAGGATCTTGGTAAATACAAGTACAAGTAGATTCAGTCCTTAGGAACAGGAACTCACCCACTTACTATTTTTCACTAAGAGCCCCAGAAAAATTCCATTGGTTATTAGAGGCCATTCTCTACTGAAGAGCTGAACTTAATACAATAATGGCTGTTACATCAGCTAGACCATTCGAAGCAAGAACAGATATTAACTTGGTATGTCAGACACATGGTTGAGTAAACAAAATAAATACTCAGGAGGCAGAACACTATGGTTTAGTAAACATGTAACACTAAAAAAAATTTTTTAAAAAAGGTAGAAGAACTGAAAACTATATTGATTATAAAATGGTGTCAGTAAAACAGGCACACTAAGGCCTTTAGGGGGCAGGAGAAGACTATAAATAACCAAATATCTTAAACTACCACGCTATACAGTTTTTCTTAGATGTGTCTACAGTAAAAATACATCTAAATAAAATATGCTTTTTGTTTTCATGCACAATCAAATAGCTTTAATTACAAGAAAAAAATGTTAAATTCCAAGTTGAAATTAGCATAAATAAAGGCAACAGGAAACTTATACAAATCTTTCGTTTCTGTATTATAAGCTAGTCATCAATTATCTTTTTTCTTTTTAAAAAAAAATACAAATCAGTTTTGAACATTTTGATGTACAATTTACATTATTAAGCTCAGATATAAAAGGAATGTCACAATAAAGGAAGGGGTTTGCTGAAAGAAGAGATAAAAAATGAACAGAAAAAGCAGTAGATTAATATTAAGCTCAAGTTACCTCCTTCACAAAACCCCTGCACAACAGTTATCACCACTGAAAATCTTCCTACTTTAACTTAATTGCCTGCAAAATGTGAATGAAGAAAAGATATTCTAGGATATCATTTTTATAGTCTATAAAAGAAATGACTCATAAAAAATAAGATTAATCAAGTTAGCAGTTATATACAGAAAATGAAACAAGAATAAAAGATGCAAGCAATAACAACTGAACGTGTACATTCATTTATTAAAAAGCTTTCAAAAATAACTGTTCAAAAAGACACTATATACTTTAAGTAAAAGTATTAATATTAAAAATCAACATACCCAGTTCAAAAACACATTCTCATATACTGACTTAAATAGGCTTAATAATACAATGAATAAATACATATTATGAAAAGGCTTTCATTCCTGCTAATAAAGATGCTTACATTTAGGCAGACTTTTTATTCTTACTTTTTCATTACTATAAAATAAAAGCATCTTTCCTTATAGATCTTAAATATAAAGTGTTATCTACCTCTGAGGAATTTATCAGAAAACTGGATAATTTATCAAAACCAGTTTAGCATAAATGCACTCACCCCCATGCTGGAGCAGCAGCTTGCCAATTTCTACATGTCCGTTTGACAGTGCATCATGCAAAGGAGTCACCCCATCCACTTGAGTGAGCAGATCTACCTCTGGACAACGTTGCAAAATTTCTTGGACACACACTGTGTTGCCATAGTTACAGGCTTCATGCAAAGGCGTCCAACCAGCATTGTCTAAATTAGAAATCAAGGCAAGTTTTAAAACAGCAACAGTAGGACTTTTGGTAGTAAAGTATTGATATTCTACTTCTCTCATCGGTATGACTGTCTAGCTAACTCATATACAAAAAGGAATGCTTTGATAAACGTGCCTAGCCTGTATTTCTACCTTTAAGAAAATAAACTAAACTAAATGAAAACAATTTAAAAATACTAATGTTGTGATCTAACTGAAATACAGACACCAGAAAAGGTTTCTAACAAGCTATGAATCAATATATCATGGATTTCTTGGTTTTGCAAATGGCAATATTTTAAAGATATCTTAGGTAAATTTACTTAGATGATTTTCTTAATGTTGACATATAACTATTTAATATCACAAATATTAAGACACTGGGTTAGACTACAAAGATTTAGAGCTTACCTTTAACATTGATGTCTATTCCTGGTAAAGAAAGAAGAAGAATCAATTTCTCCACTTGGTTATTTATGCAAGCTCTATGCAGGGCTGTTTCTCCTGTCATAAAAAATTAATAGATTATTCCAGAGAAGACAAGATATCAACTAAAGAAAATAATCAAAGGGCATGACTCGGAGATGTGGCCCCATGCCAGAAAATTATTTACTGAGTTTTCCTTTTGACTGGTTTAAACATCTCTTGCATTAAAAAAAAAAAAAAAAAAAAAAAACAGGGAGGAGGGAACCCCACCAATCCAAGAGCTTCTGTTCTATCAGCAATTCAGCAACGCAATTCTACTGCACAAGGTTTAACACAGGCATTGTCTCTCCCTAGTTCAAGGTTTAAAGCTTCAATCCTGCTATAAAACCCCAAACGATCAGAGAACACCAAAAATACTGGGTTTTGCAGCAATAAAAGTTTAGAGTGCAATTGCCCTCTCTTAAATTTATTCATGAACCTATGTTAAATGTATGGTTCTTTTTTACACAGCATTTATAGCTTAATTCAAATGAATGTTTCTGGCTAAGCACGAGTGCCTCTACACACTCAAGTATAATTCAGAACTTCAAATCCATTAACAGATGGTTTGCTGCTTCTCAATAGGCTGTCTGGCTTGGCTACAGAAGCAGAGAGAGGGAGAAATGAAGGAATCTTAATATAAACACACACACACACACACACACACACACGGAAAAATCCCTTGTACCATTTAAAGCTGAACAAGGGTGACAAAATGAATGGCAAGGTTTTAAGGTCTGCTTTTTCTAGAAAGAATGCAATCAATGCACACTAGCTAAAATTCAGTCTATATCCATAGCTCTGTTATAATCAAAATTAATAAGATGTAAGTGGTAATCTGATGGCAAGGGAAATTTTAAAAACATAATAAATTGCTTAGGAAACAAATGAAACACTGAATCATATTCTTTCTTGCTATAAAATACTTAGTTACACATTTTTAGTGTTCAGTTTTACAGATTACTCTGCAACTTCTACCAAAACATTTCTTTTACATGCATAGAAAAGCTTCTGAAGTTGTTCTCTACTATTTCTCAATTCTCCTCCTCCCCCCCACCCAGCTCCTTCTGCTATTCAGTCTGAAGTCATTCATATTCAGTTTACTTTCTGAAACAATAAAACAAAGAAAAAGGATACTGATTTGTGAAGTTAATATCTGAGTTCTCATCTAATACATTTTGCACACTTTGAGCCAAATGGGCAGTTATTTTGTAGTCTGCAATTATGAACTTATATCATGTTGAAAGATTATATGGTCTCTCTGTCACTACCTCCATAAGTGTCACAATGATAAGCATATTTGTATTAAAAACACAATATAGCTCATAAACAAAAGAGACTCAGGAGTTTACTTTGGCCAGGTACAGATTCTTGGAAGGTACTTTTATATTTGTGAGCTAAGAGGTATCTAACCAGAAAAGGTGCTGGAGTGAATTATTACAACACTATTCTTGTTATACCATCCTTTAGGTACTTAGGTTCCAGTATAGTTAGAACCAAAAGCCAAACACATTTCATAGTCTGGGCTCAGTGCCTGGAAGAAAAGAGTCCATATGCTTAACACAGCTATGTAACGCAGCCTACTCCTCATTCTTTGTTCACAAAATGTCTAGGACTGAAAGAGATGAAGACTGAATTATACTTTCAAATCAGAAGACACTGATTCTAAGCAGCACAGGTTGAGATGGATTAGAAAAGTAAGGCGGGCAAGCCTGGAATGAGCTCAACACATGCTACACACTGTGTTTACTATTTGGAGAGGTATTGAGAGAAGAGAAGGGAGGGAATACTCTATTATACTGTGCATTAAACGATCATTTCCTTTGTATTAATGACAGTTCAAGAAAATAATATGCTATCCAAGAAGGTATTTCCTGGACCTAGTCCAATGTTTAAGTTCAAGTATTCATCAGGGCAAGTATGTTAAACTTGCAAGTATTGACTAAAATCATGAAAAGTTCTTAGCATAAATTAATTCAGATACTTGGAATACCTTTTAGATTAGTCTTGTGAAAGTTCATCTTTGTAACTAAAGAGGGGCAATTCTCCTTGGAACACGACAATTCTCCTTCTGACTTCTTTTTCAATCTTTTTAATGATGAGGAACATTTAGTAAGGTTCAGCTCTCTGAAAGGAAAGCAAGAAATAATGAAAGCTTGTTTCTCAACAAGGCATGCCAGCATGGATTAGATGATTTCTTTTTTTTTTTAATCTAGCCTCCTTTTACTTTAAACCCCCTTACTCATGCAAAGACTGCACTGCTTTCTATTTTTACATTTATTTCAACTGTAAAGAAGCAAATTTTAATGTATTATTTTTCATTTTATTAAGCCTTGTATCTGCAACTACCACTGCGAAGTTTATGAATATGGACTGTGGGGTAAAGAGAAAAAGGGATCAAGTAAACCACTGGCAGAGAGAATAAAGTGAAAAGCTAAGATCAGGATGCAGGCCTTTGCTCCCCATTCTTATTGTGCTCCTATTCACTACTTCTTTTCCGAGAACATTTCAGGTTTTCTGAGTTTTATACACCATACTTTTAGAGGAGGGTCCTCATTCTGGGAAAGTTATTATAACAATTCAGAGCATTTAACATGACCTTGCATTCTAAAATCCCATCTTCATTATTTAAAAGTAGCAATTCAAATCATACAGCAAAATTATATAAAATAATAATTTTGGGGGGAGGAAAAGCTTTTTGTTTTTTAATTATGGCAAAATATGTAGAGCCAAACATTTGTCATTTCAACCATTTTTAAGTGTATAATTTAGTGACATTAATTACATTTGCCATATTGTGCAATTTGATGAAGAATATTACTTCTTTTGGTAAACAATTTTAACAGAAAGAAAGCACCTACCTTATATTGCAAAAAAGAAAATGTTGCCTATGAGTATTTATAGGTCTAAAACTGAGTTTTCTGCTAATCAGTACAATTGTTAGACGGCATCACAGATAACCATAAAGTTAAAAAAAAAGTATCAGAAAAAGAGGTGTACCTCCAAACAAAGCACGGTTGGTATACAGGCACTACTTACGGTAACTGCGGCAGTCCTTCAACTCGTTTCTGCTTTGCACCATTCAGCATTAGTAAGGCCCTCTGAGATTCAAGGCAAGGCCGCTGTCCGATTTTCTTTGGTATTTGCATCTTTCCAGCCCCAGGCACACCAGTGTTCCCCAGTGCTGGCAAATAGGAATATACCTGTTGGAAAATAACATTATATTGCTTTCTCAACTACAAAGACCTGGAAAGCAGTAAAAAGAAATTACTTGATTCATTTCACCATTAAATTTGGTTACACTGTCTTAGTTTCACCCTTATGGTTGCCATCCTATCTATCTCATTTGAACATGCTAAAATATTAAGAATGTTACTAGTTCCACATCATTAAATGAAGACCACATGGACAAGAAAAATATCTTCTTGAAAATATTTTTCTAATTCTGATGCTTATTTAGTAAAATTTTTTTGATTAGTCTTATGCCCAACTTGTTATGATTCTTTTGTCTATTTTTCTAGAGAAAAACATCTGATATATGTACAACTGGTATTTTGTCATTTCCATTTAATAATGCCTTTCTTCAACAGAAAACAAGTCTGGAATATACAAACAGAATAATAAGTGCAAAAGTCCTTAAAGGTAAGAATTGTTAAAAAAAAAAAAAAGAATTTTCCCAGCCTGATCAATAAATAAGTGTATTTCTCAGTTGTTGAAGAAATTGCTATAGATATTAGATATTAATAATATATAAAGATAGCCAAGATAAAACTGGAGAACCCTGAGTTAAATGCAGCTTTTACGTGTGTGTATAGGATAAAAGAGAATGATAACCTGTAGCATCATTTGCAAATTTTGCTTTTTAAATACCATTAAATACTATATAGATTATTTTTTGGATCTATAGCTTTCCAAAATCACAATCTTATGCACTATGACAAATGATTAAGAAACAAAGATTCTTGCATTATTTTTCTATTACCAACCCTTAAGTATTACTAAATAAGTAATTAAAGTTTATTCACTGATTAAGCCAATTGTGAGGTGAAAAGATACCAGGTCTTATACAGATTTGAAGACCTATGAATTAATGTGCTCTGTTCAAGTGTTAGAAATGATCAAGAATATTTAAAAATTGAATTTATGAACTCACTTCTTGGAATTTAAAAGAACTAGAATAGAGTGACGTTTACCATTTTCTGAAGAGAAAGTGGCTCAGAAGAAATACTGATGGAGCTCTGTAAACACAGCTTTTTAAAGACTGCCTCTGCAACAAACATTTGAAGCCAGGAGGAGGAAAATGAACAAATAAAAATTTCTAATTCCTGTGAAGAAAAGTCTGTAGAAAAAGAGCAATAAATATATTTGTTACTACATCCTATAAAATTTCTTTCTAGAGACTACTTCCTCTGGATGTTATTCATTCAAATAATTCCTACACCAATAACATTTATCCACATAATTTTAAACAACAAAAAATACATAATATTTCTATTCCTTGTCTTTCAAGAAAAAAATTTTTATGGCAAACGTTCTCACATTTGCAAAACAGTAATTGCTTTAAATGAAAGTCTTGAAATGACTATATATGTGTGCAGGTAGCTAGAATAACCTGTACAAAAACCAAAATCCGTTGCCATCGAGTCGATTCCAACTCATAGTGATCCTATAGGACAGAACAGAACTGCCCCATAGTGTCTCCAAGGCAGTAATCTTTACAGAAGCAGACTGTCACATCTTTTTTCTGAGGAGTTGCTGGTGGGTTCAAACAGCTGACCTTTCAGTTAGTAGCTAAGCGCTTAAACCACTGCGCCACCAGGGCTCCTTAGACAGGTAGACAGATATATAACAAACCAACAAACAAACCAAACCCGTTGCCGTTGAGTTGATTCCAACTCATAGAGACACTACAGGACAGAGCAGAACTGCTCCATAGGGTTTCCAAGGAGTGGTTGGTGGATTCAAACCGCAGACCTTTTGGTTAGCAGCTGAGCTCTTAACCACTGTGCCACTAGTGCTCCTTAAATCAGCACAGATGCATTTAATTTCCAATGATCAGTCTCGAGCTGAGGGGAAGAAAGAAATTGGAAAGCTTCCTGTGACCACCTATGAATCCTGTCACTGCAACAAAGGGGGAAAGCCCAAGGTGAAGAGGAGAAAGAAAACACGAGGGCCCACAGGGTTTTCTTAGAAGCATGCTTCCATTTTAATACAGGAAGAGGAGTTATAATTTTAAATGGCAAAATAAATAAACAGCAACAAAAAACCCACCAAGTGCCTCAAATCTCTTCCTTTCAAAAACCTCAAGTACTCCAATAACATGGAAATGCATATTTCATGAACTGAAAGTGGTAAAAGACTGGGGTAACTATTTCCCACACATAGTAATATACTTAATGTTATGAATTCTACATTAATATTCTTATAAGTGACAGAATGGATAGGATACTAAAAGAGCTAAAATTAAACAAAACAAATAGGATAAAAAATTGTGGTATTGTATAATAAGGGAGATATCTATAAACACTGGAAGAATAAGGTCAATAAAATTAGCAAAGTGAACATAATAAAAGAGCTGAAAATACAAGCATTAAGTTAAAATTTTTTTTTTAATTGGACAACATGAAAACTTAATAGCTATATAAGATAGATAGATAGATGACAGACAGACAGACAGACCTCCCTACTCAGAGGCAGAGTTCCTGTAGGCTAAGGGGACTGCACACACCCAAAGAATGTCCTGCCCAGATGCCTTATGGTGTTCCTGCAGTCCTACACTCAGTGGTATTCAAATGCACGGTGGGGGTAGGGAGGAGTTTCCAACAGGGAACATTTAGAAATGTCTAGATATCACAACGGTCCGATCCACAACTGATCATGGGGATGGCGCAGGACTGGGCAGCATTTCATTCCATTGTGCAAGGGTTGCCATGTGGGGCTGACTCAAAGGCAGCTAACAACAACAAAGGAACGTTTTTGGTTGCCACAACTGCAGAGGGAGGGTGCTATTGCATCTAGTGGGCAAAGGCTAGGGATGGTACTAAACATCCTTCAATGCACAGGACAGCCCCCCACAACAAAAAACTACCCAGCCCAAAATGTAAATAGCGTCCGGATGAGAAACCTTGCTTGACCAGAGATCTAAGGCTCTAGGCTTGTGGCAAACTGCCACATGGGAATCTAAACTTTTGGGCAAATGGCTCCAGTCAGATGTTAAGCAGATCTACCTAGCCCTACATAGACATGTTTGCTGAATTCAGATAATCCCTCCCCAAATGGTCTCAATGAAGATACAATTTGTAAGAGTTGGAAATGAGAAAGGAGTTGTTCACAACCCTTTCTCTTTCTACTACTTAGGCTGTTACCAAACCAAAACTAAATCCATTGCCGTGGAGTTGATTCCGACTCATAGTGATCCTGTGTTAGTATTAGCATTAGTATTATCAAAAAGTGTTAGTATTATCTAGAAGTGTCATTTAAAAATGTGCAAGCAGTAAACTGATGGATGACAATCAAAGATCTTTTAAACATTTAATCTCTAGTTATATATGTACATAACGTCTATCATCACAGAGTTTACTACAACCAACTGATCTCTTAATGTATCAGCTCTAAGTAGAAGCAGAAGAAATAACTTGTATAATACAGTTCAATAGAGATACTCTAAAACTAGAACTTTCAAACAGAGTTATTCATCTAAGAAGGAGCATTTGAGGCTCTAGATAGGTTTACAGGAATAAGGAAATGCAAGCTATAACAGATCCACTTCTTACCAGGTAATAGATCCAAAGAGAATGGTAAATAACAGATGAACAAGCAAACATGAGAAACTTAGCCATTGGACTGTAAGACCTCTAAGGGCAGGGTTATTTTTGTAGCTCTCACAGGATGTAGGTGATTAATTTGCAAAGAATAAACACTTAGTATTTGATAGATGAACGAATGACTGGCAGATACCAATAACTCTAACTGGAGAGCCAATTCAGGATGATCTTTTTAAAAAAGCTGATTAAATCAAGCCATTTCCTTGCTACAAGTGGCTTCTCAACTCAACATGGCTTATGAGCTCCTACATAAACTCTCCTACCCCTACTTTGGCCTTATTCTGGCCACTCTTCCCCTTGGTGCCTACCATCAGCCATGCATCAGAAGTTCCCACCTCAAAGTTCTGCTAAATGATGTATCTTCTTCTGACTGGAACACTCTCCTCTGACTCTGCCTACCTTCTACTCATCCTTGGGTTCTGCTTTCCAGGACCACACAATATAAAGTAATTTTATTTATGTAAACTTAATTACAGTCTGCCTCTCCCACTAAAAGCTCCAAAAGGGCAAAAACCGTATTTTGTTTTCCCTCTCTACTATATATCAAGTATTTCGTTCAATTGCCTGGTAGACTGTCACTAAAAATTTGTCAAATAAATGAAGGGGATAGAAACATTCTGATTGAAGCAATGAGTAAAAATATAAACATTCATATTTACAGACGAGGTTCATATAAGGATGGAAAGGGATTAAAATAGTGATAGGCCTGAAGCATGGAAAGGGATTATAATAGAGACAGAAAACAAAAGTGATTAAAGGGTTGGAAGAAGGGTTTAAACAGGAGAAGAAATAAGTTTAAGCCATGGCATGGCAAACTATGGCCTGCTGCCTGTTTTATGATAAAGTTTTACTGGACACAGCCATGCTTATTTATGTATTGTGTATGGCTGCTTTCTCACTACAAAGGCACAGCTGAGTAACTGGGACAGTCCTTCACGGCCAAAAATATTTACTATCTGACACATTACATAAAAAAGTGTGCTGACCCCTAGGCCAATACTTCAGGAATTTCAATTAAGTATAAAAAAGAAACGTCAGGTAATATGTCCTTAAAATATAGAAAGGGATATAAGAAAACTCTATCTGAAGTGTTTAGAAACAAAAGAGAATGTCATCTATATGGGACAGATGAACATGAGATCTGATAGAAAGAAAAAGAAAGGATTTTACTTACCTTCTGCCTTAATATTCTATAAAACAATTAAAAACTAACTGCAATTATATGAAACTAAAATTAATTCCATGGATCTGAATCTGAGTATGGTCACAGTATGAATTTTGTACTTCTGAATTAGAAAAAACCAAAACACTCAATTTGTCATAAATGAGAAAGACAGACCAAGATGTTCAACTGGAAGTTGTATGACAACCAAAATTGAACATCTTTACTAATGACTTGGGAGAAGCAAAAGATAGTACTGAGTTGAAGAATGATTCAAAAAATATTAAAAAAAATCTAGGGGACAGTGAGTTGAAGATAATGGTGATGGAATAATTTGGAAAAGGATAGTGAGAATAGCAGCACAGCTGGAAGAATGTAATCGATGTCACTGAATTGTACATGTAGGAACTTTTGTAATGGTGTAACTTTGGCTATGTATATTTTCACCAAAAAAAAAGTCCTCAAGGTCAAGAAGGGAGAGTGTTGTCACGTCATGGGGTTCTTAACCAATGTCATAAAACACTATGTGTACTGAATGTTAAATGAGAAACTATTTGTTCTGTAAACCTTCATCTAAAGTACAATAAAAAAAATTTTTAGAAAAAGGCATATCCACAAAGAAAAAAAAAAAAAAGGTGGTAAATAATAAAGATTTTCAAATTTCTTCTTCAAAGTATCAACAAAAAAGGGCATTATGAGAAGACCTGGTTCACTTGTAAGGAAAAAGTGTGGTAGTCTACCAACTCCATAATAAGCACTTTATTCTGCATATTACTACAGAAAATTTTATTGCTCTGTTAAGGATACATTACTTGATTTCTGTCTCTTCACAAAGCTTAAAAATCAAACTGTACTAAGAGCAAAAAATTAGGAAGATATCAGACTGAACCATTTTTAGAAATAAATGTTAAATTTTAAAGACTGCTCACCTATAGCACAATTTGTAGCTAAGGAACCAATGGTGTGTCTGAAGGGAAGGCAGAATTTGAGAGGGGTAAGGAAGGGACAAAACCTTCTTTTAAACAAGGATATAATTTAAATCTAATTTACACTTTTAAATATTAGTGATCAAATATAGATTCTGGGAAACAGAGTCATCACTCTGTCAACAGGATTCCAACAGTAACATTAAGGTCTAGTTTCAGTTCAAGTCAGTCACAGGTTCAAACTTCTTGGGTTTAAACTTGTCATGTGAAAACTGAGAATAACAATGGATGACAACGCCCTGCTTTAAAGTGAGGGAAATTCGGAAAAAGAGTAAAGAACGCATTAAGCTGGTGTATAACGTGTAGTGTTGTTGTTAGTTGTCATCGAGTAGATTCTGACTCATGGGGATCCCACACATACAGAGGA